AGCTCGCATCTGGTCCTGGCCGGTGTGTAGCTCCGTACTTTTCTGTACGGAATTATCACCATTTTTGCGATTTACACGAAGATTTATGATGAAAATAATTAAATTCTAGGCGCTGGTCGACTTACTTTGAGTCAAATCGACAGTAGAAATGACGAGCGCTGATTCTGTAGGTCGCGTAATTCTCCATTAGTCGAAACTCGCATTTGATCTCGACCGTTGAGAAGAAATTTGATCCGACGCTCCTAATTCCTTTTTTTTTTTGGGCAAAATTCTCAGGGTCGTTGAGATTCGAATCGATCTTACTGTCGAAGTTCCAAGTTTCGCCTTTGGACCTGAGGAGTGTTCAAAAACCGGTTCGAGGGGGATGTTAAAAAAATAGCGCAGAACTGGTTTACGTACCCGAAATCGGCGCTTTCCATCGTCGCCCCCACGGTTTTAAAAGCTAGTTTTTGCGGTCGAAAACTTCGCGTGCAAACAAGCTGTGATTACCAAGTGTAGGATCTAGGATCGAGCTCAAGAAAGAGAGTTTGAATTGATGATTCACCTGGGTACAACACGAGGCTATATATAGGCTCGACACAACGCAGGTAACCCAGGTGTTATGCGAATGTTCTGAGGGTCGCGAAGCATCCTGAACAGAACTTTCCCGAACTCGGTAGAAAGCATTTCGGTGGAAACCGAATAGGCTTGAGTTTGGTAACCTGGTTTCCGTGCTGGAACTAAAATAGCATATAGGAATGCACCTAACCTAGGAAATCAAGCATATCTATGCATGATTATAAAACCCAAGCTAGTAATAGCAGTAATGTCGACTAGCTCTGTGAGTAGTGCAGACGCAGCAGTATACTCAAAGGAAGGGTCAGTGACAAAAGTGGCGAAAAGACGAGTGACAGCAGGACTAGCAGCACGAGTAAGGTCGGACTCACGGACAGGAACGTCAGGAAGAGAGGACGTCGAAGGAGACGGCAGGGCAACGCGCTGGGGAATAGAGGAAGGACGAGGTGCCGTAGTGTGCGTGCCAGGAACAGGTGGAGGACGAGGACGATGAACACGATTGACAGTGCGAACAGGGAGGCAGTGTGAGAATAAGAACGAGAATGGATGAACTAAGGAATGAAAGTGATACAAAATATGAAACCCTAGAATTGTGTACCCCTTAGTATCTAACCCACTACAGCCTACACAGTCTAGATCATATAAGTTTGACACACCCCCTTTGGCAAAGTGGGGGAGAACAAGGGGTCACAAGACCAGTCAAGCAAAGCAAGGCAAAGCAAGCTCAGGGTGGATCACAACGTCACCACACATTCTGAGCACAAGTTCAAGGCCACAAGGCCAGTTCACATGCATGAGTACACACATATATATAACGCTAAACAAGCAAGAGCAGGTATATATATATGTAACAGTACAAGCAAGGTCAAGAAGTGAGCAAGTGAGGCAAGGTAGGTACAAGACCTAACCGAGTACAGAAGCGCTGATGGTCACAAGGCGCAAGTGCCTTGGTGAAGATATCAGCAGTGTTGGCCTAAGAGGCCACGTAAGCAAGGCGCAGCTGACCGCGCTGCTGAAGCTCACGAGCAAGGAAGTAGCGAAGAGCGATGTGCTTCGTTCTGTGCTCCAGTCTCTGCTCCCGACACAAGGCCATCATAGACTTGTTGTCTACGTACAGAACTGGAGGAGAACGAGGCGGCTCTCCTAGGTCAGTCAGCAGGTAGGTGAGCCAGCGTAGCTCCTGTGCAGCCATGGCCCCTGCGTAGATCTCAGCCTCACAACTGGAGCCGAGAACAGAAGACGAGCGGGTAGACCGCCACGAAACAGAGCCGGAACCAAGGCTGAAGGTGTAACCCTGTGACGACCGCTGTGTAGCCTGGTCGTCAGCCCAAGAAGCGTCTGCGTGACCAGTGAGGACCACTGGACTCCGTTCTCCAAGCACAAGCCCCATGCCTGACGTACTGCACAAGTAGCGCAACACCCTCTTCGCTGCAGCCATGTGCTTACGTCTGTGTCTCCCAGGAGCAACATAGCGTGCCAGAATGCTAAGAGGGTATGCAAGGTCAGGTCGAGTGCAGGTCATCAGGTACATGAGGCAGCCAACAAGCTCTGGGTACGGGCCACTCGACTCTACGGACTCATCCGAAGGCAGAGCTGAGAGGGAGTGACGAGTAGGCAGAGGAGTGGCCTGAGGCAAGGAGTACGTGAAGCCGAAGCGCTGAAGAACCTGCTGCACCATGTGTGACTGAGTCAGGGTAATGGTGCGGCGTGCTCTGTCCCGGGTGATCTGCAAGCCAAGGTAGCTGTGCAGTTCACCCAGGTCAGTGCACGTGTGTCTCTTCTGCAACTCGGACTTCACGTGGGCGAGTCAAGCAGTGTCAGCTGTGGCAAAGATCAAGTCGTCGACGTACACGAGGATGTAGAATGGCGGCAGAGAAGTGGCGGTGCGCAGAAACAGCGACGGGTCGGCAGTAGAAGGAGCAAACCCAAGAGCCGCAAGTGTAGTCCTGAGTGTGTCGTGCCACTCACGCGGTGCTTGGCGGAGACCGTAGACTGGCCGCTGGAGGCTCCACTGGGTGCCAAGAGGAAAAGTCCCAGTGAAGCCAGGTGGGCGGTGCAGCCAGATCTCCTCGTGCAGGCTGCTCTGCAGGAAAGCAGTGCTGAAGTCAAGAGAGTGTAGCTCGTAGTCACGGTGAGCGGCTATGTGCAGCAGTACCCAAAGAGTGGTCATCTTCGGGGTGGGAGAGAAGGTCTGAAAGTAGTCAACTCCCTGCCGCTGACTGAAGCCACGAGCCACGTAACGCGCCTTGAAGACAGGCGAAGAACCCGGTGGCCGCTTCACCCTGAAAATCCACATGCCACTGACGATGTTCACCCCAGGAGGGGGAATTTCGTCGACGTAGGTGCTTGTGGATTTCCAGGAAGCCATCTCTGCATCCATGGCTGCCTCCGATTGAGAGGAGTAGGGACCCTCTATCGCCTCCGCGTAAGAGCGCGGAGTCGGGATGTCTGGTGCATCCGGGTCTCCCTTAGGGGCAAGCAGCATGGACACGAGTCAAGGGTGAAGGTGTGTACGACCGCAGGAGGCGTAGCACCAGAGAGAGCAGACTCGCCAGCACTTGGAGCAGGAGACTCACTAGCACCTAGAGCAGCAGCCTCACCAGCACCTGGAGCAGGAGACGCACGAGCACCTAGAGCAGCAGCCTTACCTGCACCTGGAGCAGGAGACGCACTAGCACCTAGAGCAGTAGCCTCACCAGCACCCAGAGCAGCAGACTGGATACCTGGGTCAGGCGGCACACATAGGTGACAGGCACCCTCAGCACTACTAGACAATGCATACATTGCAGTGAGAAGAGCATCATAGTCTAGAGCAAAGATTTCTACCCTCTGCCTAAGTAGCTCCAGCCAGGAGGGGAGCTCAGCGTCGTCGCCAAACACTGTACGCCATGCGTCGCTCAAACGGGCGAAGCAGCGGGACTCTGTGTGACCAGGAGTCCCGCAAGGCTGACCAATCCAGACACTCGTGCGAATGACGTACTGGCAGCAAGTAGTACTCAGTGACCCTCTACTCTGGGCGTACCACTCGCGAAGCTGCTGGGGCGAAAGGGTCTTGGGCGGACGACGCTGCGGCTGCACCTGGGCACGACAAGAAGCTCTCGAACTACTCACTCCAGGATGACTCCCACTACGGCCTCCCCGACAACCCCACCTAGCGTACCACTCACGAAGCTGCTGGGGCGGGAGGGACTGACGCGGACGTCGCTGGAGCTGCAGGTGGTCACCACCAGGAGTAGCAGTAGCAGTAGTAGCCGCAGTAGCAGCAGTAACAGCGCGGCTACCCCTACAACCCCAACTAGCGTACCACTCACGAAGCTGTTGGGGCGTGAGAGACTCACCCGGACGGCACTGGAGCTGTATCTGGCCAAGCCAGGTGCGGCAATAACAGTAGAAAGAGCAGTAGCAGCAGGAGCAGCAGTAACAGTAGAAAGAGCAGTAGCAGCAGGGCAGTGCTCACCAGTGGCGAGAAGGGAAGAGTCCAGCTGTGGCTGGGGCTCAACGGCGGCGGCGGCTCGACGGCGGCGGCTCAACAGCGGCAGCGGCTCGGCGGCGGCGGCTTGATGGAGGCGGCTCGACGGTGGCGGCTCGGCAGCGGCGGCGGCTCGACGGCGGCTGTTGCGGCAGTGGCAGGGCCGGGGGCGGCAGCGGTGGTGGCGACGGCGGCAGTGGTGGCCGGCAGTGGCGGCGGCTGCACGGCAGAAGTGGCCGCTGCTGCTGCTGGGGCCGGGAAGGGGCCGGGAGGGGCCGCGGACGACCGCGAAGGGCGGCGACGGGGCCGCAGCGGGCGGCGACGTTGTCGCAACGGGCGGCGTCAGGGCCGCGAAGGGGCCACGAGGGGCCGTAAGGGGCGGCGACGGGTCCGCTGCGGGCGTCGACGGGGCCGCTGAGGGCGGCGACGGGGCCGCAAGGGCAGCAAGAGGGCCGCAATGGGCAGCGATGGGGCCGCGAGGGGCGGCGACGGGGCCGCTGCGGGCGGCGACGGGGCCGCTGCGCGCGGCGACGGGGCCGCTGCGGGCGGCTACGGGGCCGCTGAGGGCGGCGACGGGGCCGCAAGGGCGGCAAGAGGGCCGCAAAGGGCAGCGACGGGGCCACTAAGGGCAGCGACGGGGCCGCTAAGGGGACGCGAGGGGCCGTAAGAGGAGCCTCTAAGAGGGCGCGACGCGACGGGAGGGCGGCCCACGGGGCGCGCCTCGGGCAGGGGTGACTCGCGCTCCGGGCAGAATTTTTGTTTTTAATCGAATTTTAGTGGTGGGCCCTAGGAAGCGTTCCCACTAGGGAACCTGCTCTGATAACATGTGAAAACTAGAACGAGAATGGATGAACTAAGGAATGAAAGTGATACAAAATATGAAACCCTAGAATTGTGTACCCCTTAGTATCTAACCCTCTACAGCCTACACAGGCTAGATCATATAAGTTTGACAAGCAGGACGAGACTCAGGCTCATGATGCTCTGCCATGGAGCATGTGTGCTCATGGTAAGGAGAAGGAGCGGGCAGTAGAGATCCAAGCAGTAACTGCGGCTGTGACTTGTCAGGCGGAGGATACAGGAGAGGCGGAGTAAGGCCAGTGCAAGACGGAAGACTAAGAACCTGACAAAGTGCCGAGCCAGGCAGTGGTAGAGACGACTGCGGCTGCGGGTAGAAAAAACGGTCGTCGCGGCGCACTACCCACAGTACCAGAGCCTCCAGCTCCAGCACCTCCAGAGCCTCTAGCTCCAGCACCTCCAGCTCTAGTACCTCCAGCACCAGCAGCTCCAGTACCTCCAGCACCAGCAGCTCCAGCACCTCCAGCACCAGCAGCTTCGGCACCTCCAGCTCCAGCACCTATAGCACCAGAAGCTCCAGCACCTCGAACACCTCCAGCTCTAGCATCTCCAGCACTAGCAGCTCTAGTACCTGCAGCTCCAGTACCTCCAGCACCTCTAGCTCCAGCACCTCCAGCACCAGCAGCTCCAGCACCTCCAGCTCCAGCACCTCCAGCACCAGCAGCTCCAGCACCTCCAGCACCAGCAGCTCCAGCACGTGTAGCTCCAATACCACCAGCACCTCCAGCTCCAGCACCTCCAGCAATAGCAGCTCTAGCACCTCCAGCACCAGTACTCCAAGCGCCATCACTAGAGCAGCCTCGCCAAACAACCCAGTCGCGAAGCTACTACCGTGAGAGGGTCTCCTGACGACGAGACCTTTGCTACCGTCCAACGCCAAAACCTCCAGAAGGAGCACCCAAGACCCCACCACCACTAGGACTCGCAACTCCCCCAGAACCAGCATCACCAGACTCAGCACCCCCAGAGTTAGCAACCCCAGAACCAGCACCTCTGGAGTCCGCACCCCCAATGTCACCACCCCCAGCAGCACCAGAGTCCACACCGACTGGCTGCGGAGGCGGCAAAGACGGCCGAGGTGGAGAGCCAGGAGAAGTCTTCAAGCGCGGGGAGCGGCGAGTGGCCGCCGTGTCGTCAGCAGCGGGGTCACCCCCCTCAGCTGGGCCAGAGGTGTCAGAGGAGACCTCCATAGGCTCAAGCAAGGGGGGTGGGTCAACCTGAGACGCATCTTAGGGAGTGGTGTCAATGAGTGAACAAAATACTGAATGAGTAGGAACAAGCAGTACAAGGGAGCATATAGCAAACCCTAAAGGTTTATACCCTCTACAGCATAACTAAGTGTAACACCTAGACCAAACTATCAAACTATAACAGTTATAGTTTCACACACCCCCATAGTCTAGGTGAGGGTAGTCTTGTCGAAAGCATCACACAACCCAAGAGCAAGGGTCACAGGACCAGTCAGCAAGAACAAGCAACCGTTCACAAGAACAAAGCAACTCTCGGGGTGGATCTGAAGATCACCACACAGTCCGAGAACAAGCAGGGGGCCACAAGGCCATTCCACACGCAAGTATATAGCAGATATAAGAGATGCAAGAGTACAAGACAAGCATGACAAGCATCTCTACAAAAGCAAGGGGCCACAAGGCATGTCAACAAGCACAGAAATAGGATATATAGTGAGATGCAAGAGTACAAGTCAAAACATCTCTACACAAGCAAATGAGGGCATGTAGACACGAGGCGAAGCTGGGTGTAAAAACGCTAGTGGTCACAAGGCTGCAACGCCTTGGTGAAGATATCTGGAGTTGGCCTCAGAGACCACACATCGCACGAGTGCCTGGCCACGCTGCTGCAACTCTCGCAAAAGGAAGTAACGAAGCTAGATGTGCTTCGCCTTCCCAACCAGTCGGGGCTCCTCCCACCACAGGATAGCAGACCTGTTGACGGCAGACAAGACTGGGGGAGCGCGAGGCCACTCACCAAGGTCAGTGAGGAGGAAAGACAACCAGCAAAGCTCCTGGGCGGCCATGGCTCTAGCGTACACCTCAGCCTCATAGTTGGAAATGGAGACGTACGATGCCCGAGTCGACCTCCACGAAACAGCTCCGGTCCCAAGGCTGAAGCAGTAACCCTATGTAGACCGCAGCGACTCAACGTCGCCGGCCCACGACAAGTCTAAGAAACCTGTAAGTGTAATTGGCTGCTTCCCTCCAAGAACAAGCCCCATGCCTGATGTACTCGCCACATACTTAGCCACCCTCTTAGCAGCGTACCAGTGGAAAGGTCGGTGTCTCTCAGGCGCAACAAAGCGCACAAGGATGCTAAGAGGGTAAGCTAGGTATGGGCGAATGCAGGTCATCAGGTACACGAGACAACCCACCAGCTTATGATATGGACTATTGGACTCAAATGGCTCGTCCAAAGGTGGAGCCATGAGCCCATGGTCCACAGCAAGAGGGGTGGGCTGTAGCTTGGAGAACGGGAAGCGAAACCGCGTGAGGATCTGCTCGACCACATGCGACTAGGTCAGCGTAATGGTGCGAGCGCCCTGTCCCTGGTAATCTGCAGGCCAAGGTAGTGCTACAGCTCACCAAGGTCAGTGCAAGTGTGTCTCCTCTGTGCGGAGATAACTAGTGCAACGGGAGCTAGCCTACGGGCTAGGCACGGGGCAAGAGTGATCGTAGCGTTCATTCGTTCCTTAGTCGTTTCCAAGTGCTAAAACTGCTTGCTAGTTCACGGGTAAAATTGGCAAGAGTTCCACTAGGAAAACATGACAACAAAAGTTCAGAATGGTTGAATCAACATTGGCAACACAAACTACATCAGACCTAGCAAGGCTGCTGGTCGTCTGCCAGCGCAGCACGGTCGACCGCGTGCCAGCACGACTTGGTCGACCGCGCTCCAACAGAGCAGAGTCGCGACTTGCCAACGTTGCTAGTCCGCGGTGTGCCAACGCTGCAGTAAGTCGGCTGCGCAGCGTTGCATCCGCGGGACACCGGTGCACCTGCTTCGCAGGTGCGTGCAGCTGGTTGGTGCCCAACTCCCCGTCACATGCCCAGCGCAGACACGCCACCTGTGACAGCGCCCACCAGCCACGTCAACCTCGGGATACCACCCCCCACGTCGTCCTCGCAGAAACCACTTCCCGGTGACCTTCGCAGACGTCGCGCGGGTATCCTGGTCGACTGGGTATCCTGTGGCCCCCGGTCGTCCACCTGCGGCCACCGCGGTCCCCGCGGTTCCATGGTCTCCCGCGGCCCTCCTGTGGTCCTCCCACGGCCCCGTGGTAGCCGCGGCCCTCCCGCGGTCCCCGCGGTCCTCCCGCGGTCCCCACTGTCCTCCCGCGGCCCCGTGGTTCTCCTGCGGTCCCGCGGTCCCGCGGCCCCTCCCCGTGGTCCTCCCGCGACCCCGCGGTCTTTCCGCGGTCCCATGGTTCTACCACAGGCCCACGGTCTTCCCGCGGTCCCACGGTTCTCCGCGGCCCCGCGGTCTTCCCCGCGTCCCGCGGTTCTCCCGCGGCCCCGCGGTTCTCCCCGCGGCCCTGCGGTTCTCCCGCGGGCCCCGCGGTGCTCCTGAGCCCCGAGGTTCTCCCGCGGTCCCGCGGTTCTCCGGCGGACCCACGATGCTCCCGCAGCCCCGCGGTTCTCCCGCGGCCCCGCGCTTCTCCCGCAAACCCGCGGTCTTCCCGCGGTCCCACGGTTCTCCCGCGGCCCCGCGGTCTTCCCGCAACCCGCGGTTCTCCCGCGGTCCCGCGGTCGGCTCCGCCCAAGCGAGGACGGGGCCAAACACTACTCCCGTTGACACTCCCCTGCCGCGTTCACACTTGGGCCCCCCAGCCCACACGGCAGTACTGTTCGGAGAATAGCCCGTCGGCGTGCACACAACACACAGCACGCCTGTCACCACACCAGCCATGCAAGAGGGCATGGCACCTACTGCTGCACGTCGTTGTCGCCGTCGCCCACGTCGGCCAGCCGCACATGGCCGATTGCGACGGAGCACCGGTTGAAGGCTGGATAGTGCAGCGCCTTCGTCAGGCTGTCAGCTGGCTGCTTAGTGGTCGGGATGTACTGCAGCGAGAACTTCCCGCACTTCACCATGTGCTGCAGCCAGGCCTGTCGCCGCTGCATGTGCTTGAGGTTGCCCGTCAACCCCATGCCCTCGGCGACTGTGATGGCCGACTTGTTGTCCATCCGGAGGACTGTCGGCTTCCCTGCATCCAGTTGCCAGAACTCTGCAAGGAGGAAGCGAAGGCGGCGTCCCTCCTTGCCGGCTTTGACGGCCGCCACGTACTCCGACTCGGTCAACGACAGCATCGCGCACTTGATGCGCTGACTCGACCAGGAGACCGCGGCCCCTCCGTAGACGAACACGTAGCCGCCCGTGCTCATCCGGTTCTGCTTGTCGCCGGCGTTGTCGGCGTCCACGTAGCCGACCAACTCCAGTGACTCCGGACCACCACCAAACTCCAGGGCGGTGTCGCGCGTGTCGTCGAGGTAAGCGAGGCAGCGGTCGACCTCGCGCCAGTGCTGGTCGCTCCTCGCCGTGAGGCCGCTCCCCAGCTTGCTGCACGCAAATTCAATGTCCGGCCTCGTCGTCGTCGCCGCGAACTGCAGCGAGCCGACCCTCTACCGGTACTCCTCCTCCTCGCGCTCCTGCGCCTCCTCGTCGTTGAATTAGCTCCGCGTAGGCGTCGACGGAGACCGGCGTTTTCAGAGTGCGCCCGGTCTGCTCCTCGTCAATGAAGCGCCTGCGCAGCTTGTCGGCGTAGCCCTGCTGGTGCAGCCACAGCTTCCGCGCTGGCCTGTCGCGCACGATCTCTAGGCCGAGGTACTGTTGCACCGGCGAAATCTCGCGTAGCTCGAAGGCAACTTCCAGCAGCTCCTTCAGCTCCTTCAGCATCGCGGTGCTGCTGCTCGCGGCGAGGAGGTCGTCGACGTAGACCAACACCTAGTAGGTCAACTTGTCGTCGCCGACCTTGAACTACAGAGCCTCGTCGACTTGGCTTTTCTTCCACCCAGCGCCGACCAATACGTCATTAAGCGCCTTGTACCACAGCAGCGGCGATTGCTTCAGCCTGTAGAGGCTCTTCAGCAGCTTGCACATTCGGCTGGTCCCGTCGTTGAAGTAGTCCGCCTGGTACATGTATAGCACGCGGTCGAGCTTGCTCTGCAAAAAGGCGTTCTTCATGTCCAGCTGCATCAGGTTGAAGTCGAGGACGGCAACGATGCTGAGGAAAATCCTCAACGTGACGTAGCTGCTCACCGGCGCGTACCTCTCGTCGTAGTCAGCGCCATACACCTGCGTGAAGCGTTTCACGACCAGCCTTGCCTTTTCGCGCTAGACGGTGTCGTCGATGCGGTACTTCGTTGTCAGCACCCACCGGTTCTTCATTATGTTCACCCCCAGCGGGCGTTCGACCAGCTCCCAAGTGCCCATGTTGATGAGGCTGCGAATCTCCTCCTCCATGGCGGCCTTCACCGCCGGACCCTTCCAACTCGCCAGCGCCGTCATCGTCGCAATGTCCCAACGGTGCTCGGGATCGGCGTGCATGTCGGGGTCGAGCTCCGAAAACTCCTCATCGTCCTCGGCGTCATCGTACGCCAGGTCATCGTCGTCCACATCATACACCGTGGTGAAGGCAACGGAGACGAAGAAGTCGGGTGGCCTCCGAATTCGGCCCGACTTCCGAGGTCTGGGCTGCACCTCCATCACGTCGCTTGATGTGCCATCATCGAACTGCTCCTTTGTCGCCCGCTCCTCTAAAGCGAGCTCCGCGTTCGACGGCTCCCCTGTCGACGGCTTCTCTGAAACGGGCATCCCGTTTGACAGCTTCTCTGAAA